CCATCCCTTGATTTCTCATCCTAACTTGACCAAAGTCTCTAGTAGTGTAGGATGTGTAAAACTCACGTCAGGGTGTAACATAGTAAGAAGCTGTTGAATTGGGTGTAACATGGTAAGAAGCTGCTGAATCTGCAACCCAGGTGGTATCCTGACATGCAAGATTAACACAACCATCATCACAAACAATGGCAACATCACCATCATATACAACTGCAGCTGTACCATTCTCTTCATTCTTGTCTTCATCTTTACCCTTTTTATCTCTTTTATACTTTCTGCAATCCTTTTGCATATGCCCAGGCTTGTCACAATAATAGCACTTAAAACCCTTCCTTGACTGAGATCTTCCTCTTGGCTTCCATTTGCCTTTTCTATTGCTGGATTCTCTATCTTGCTTGCTGTGAGAGAACCTGCTTGGACTTCTCCCTCGACTTTCTGTAACAAGTGCATGAGACTCAGAAGTGCTTGTGCCTTTCCTCCTCTTCTCTTCATTGAGGATACAATCCTTCACTGTTTTCAAAGTGATCTTCCCATTCGGAGTAGAATTGCTAAGTGACACCACCAAAGTCTCCCAACTATCCGGCAATGAACTCAGTAGGATTAGTGCTTGCATTTCATCAGCTAACTCCAGATTCATCAATGACAACTGATTCAAGAACCCTTGGAATACATTTATATGTACTGAAGCATCTTCACTATCTCTATACTTCAGATTCATAAGGTCTCTAATTACAAAAACCTTATTTTGTGCACTCTCCTTAGCAAATGTTTCTTCCAACATCTTCCAAACTGTATGGCAATCATGTTCTTGAGAAATATGATTAATGGACTTAGAAGATACCCATTTTCTAACAATAGCAAGCCTTTGTATTAGGCCCATTCCATTTTGCATCATCCATATTATCAGGCTTTATTCCTTTACATTCAATCAGCAAAGCCAAATTATTGCAATATGCCTGAATCTTCCTTTTCCATTTTAACTACATAAGAAATTCAATCTACATAACCAATGCTCTGATACCATTTTGTTGGGAAAACTAGGAACAACTGGACACCAATTTACCCTGATCAATTCAGCGGAATACAATTCATAATGCACAAGTCCCATTTTTTTTCTCGGAATACAATTCACAATTCACAAGTCCCATTTTTTTTTCTCTCTTTGTGCAGTAAAATTAGAATTAAACAATGATCAAATATAATACAAATAATCACAAAATTAACACCAATATTTTAACGTGGAAAACCCGATGCGAAAAAAACCACGGGACCGTAGTCCACCTAAAAACTTCCACTATCAACAAATAATGGGTTCACAATCATTTTTCCTCATATTCAACTAAGAGATACAACACATATATCATCAAGAACAACTTATTCTCGGATTACAACAAGATTAAAGGAGAATTATTTGAGAAAAACTCATAATACTAACAGCCTCATTTTCTGTCAAAAAGGCTAGCTTCCACATCATTAATCTTCGATCCGACCGTTCAAAATGAAGAGTTACGTGTCTAGAAGCTGCTTCCAAAATTGTAGCCCGATCTAACGGTGAACAAGAGTCTAGAAGCTGCTTCCAAAATTGTAGCCCAATCTAACGGTGAACAAGATGGAAATCGAAGAAAGAATACAGGCTGCTTTGCTACCTCTTCTTCTCTTTTTCTTTCTTGGTTTTCATCTCCTCTCTACTATTTTCAATTCTGCCACTACAGCACCCGAACCACATTAATTTGAATACCAAGAAACAGAAATTAATGTGGTGGTCCCACCATCACATGGTGCGGGACCACACACAACATATGTGTACCTCTTGAACAATTCATCCATTATTTCATCTCCAAAATGACTAACCAACATCGGTTCTGCAACTGCTCTTACAATATTTGCCACATTTCGTCCACATTGGTCCTTGTCAAACACAAAATTTTTGTCGCTGATATCATCATGAGCATCCCAGTTAATAGCAAAAGTTTCTAGCTTATCAATATCGAATGATCCCTTCATTTCGATAATTTCCCTCACTTCTCCTTCGTAAGGATTATAGCATGGCAGATTGAAGGTATCAATATCGGCCTCTACAATAAGTCCCTGAAACTTAAATTAATTAATCTCCATAACCAACAAGGCAAGCAATTTGCTTGATTTAAATGAAAATAACCTTTGCTGCCAAGTCTAGCAGTGACTTTGCTAGCAGCTCCAAATAAAGACAGCAATCTTTGTTTCTAGGATCCTCAATTCTCCTCCCGATAAATGTAACAACTACACGTCCTCCTTGTATTATTTCCTCTGAGCGTAAGCGCAGAAACAAGGAGAAATCCTTCTGGAATTGTTCCAAGTAAGCTTTAAATACATTAGGAGAACTTGCCTTTGCCATGTATATGTTCCCCTTGTTATTTGATATACCTTCTGGCACCTAATGTCATGAAAATATATGGTCAGGCTTTGCCATGTATATGTTCACGGGTGACTAATTTAAACCACAACAGGCAACAGCACATTATTCTATAATATTGATTCAAGCAATTGCTATTATTTATATGTATTTTGTATTTGATTCTGTAGTTATTTTAAGCTGTGATAAATGAGGTTTCAGGAATGGTTTCAGGTTTTATATTAACTCAGTAATGTTTATAAACATCTTGTTTCTCTTCTTCTCTACCAATTTTTGTTTGTCTTCGATATTTCGCTATCTTAACTGGGCATTCCAGTTACTGGGATAAATCATTATTAACCTCAGAGATAATAATTATGAAAAAAAGACAGTAATATAACCTTAGACCAGTGTAGGCTGTAAGAGGAATGGAAGAATTGCAAACTCTTGCTTGGGAAGAGCCTCTGATAGAGAGAGCCAGGTACTGCTGATATGAAACAGTGCTGTCCATACAAGTCTCCCTTTCCTCTTCCAAACTTCTCGTAGAAAAATGGCAGCGACTTGATAACAGTAGTGAAATCATTTCCTGTAAGGTCATTCAGAAACACCTGAAATTCGGGCAGTTTACAGGTCAGTTGTTGGCAAAGCTCATAAATGACGTCCATGATTTCAGAAACGAACAACAGAGTATTGGGTTCTGAAGAGCAGCCCAATTCTGTTTTGAAGCCAGTGGGAAGGGCGGTGCTGAACATGTCCTTGATGGTATCTTCTAGGAATGGCCTAGCTTTTGATAGCACTGTTTTCTGCGAAACGAATTGTCAAACCACATCAGAATTACCAATATATTTGGTGAGATGCGATGCCAAGAAGAAGGAAATGCATGCAGCGATGGCTATTTGCTTGCTTCAGATCATTAAACTTCGCTTAACTTACCTAACTTAAGAATTCAAGTTGCTACGCGAGGACTACTTTACTTACAATAAAGTTCTAACCCTACCAAAAAGAAAGGAAAAAAAGGGGTAATTTGTCTCACTAAATGCACCAAGACATCACATTTTTATGAAATAATTTAGCAACGAATAAGGCGTTAGAGGGGGAGAGAGAGAGAGAGAGAGAGAGAGAGACTTGAAGGAATGAATTCTTGGCGTAGCTGGTTTCACCATCTCCTGGATTCATGCAAAGAACGCTTTCCACTACCATGATTATTGGCTGTTGCTTTGGTTCTGCTATCTGCTGATTTGTTCTTAGCTATAATTTCTTGTATAATGTTTTCAATCATGCATGCATGGGTGCCTGAAATGTGTGGTGGTAATAGAAAAATGTAAGGTTCCTATTGCTAAGCATAATCCAAACTTTCACGGGAAATACTAAAAACGCCAAAAAAACGTTTCCGCTTTCTATTTTGTGGTACAGAAACAAATTAATTGTACCTGACTTTTCTTTCCTTCCATAAATGTGCCGGCGTAGCCGTTTAGAAACGGGAAACGCCACTCCTATGCCGTGAATTTCAGCCGCGGTTTCCAACCTGCTGTAGAGTCGCTTGTGGGGCAAACCTGTGTGCACCAGTTGTTAAAATGCAAAAATAAAACAATAATTATAAGCGACATGAATCAGGTGCGACCCTGTTGTTAGGTCCCACTGCTCTGTTTATAAGATTTATGATTTTTTTAAAACATTTTTAATATATTTTTTATATAATTTTATCAATATTTATTTTCTTCAACCATATAGAAAATATTAGAACTTTATTTGAATGTTTTATTTTAAATTTTGTTTAATACAATAATGATTTTTTTTCGAAAACAATCTTTTAATTTACAAAAAAACTTCAATATTAAGTTGAATACCAGTTTTTATAAATATTTATTTTTTATATCATTAAATAAAATACAATTTGTCAAACAAAGTTGAAGTTTTTTAAGTTGATTTGACATTTTGGGCAACTAGCTTAGTGGCTCCATGATATCAAAGGCTTTGATATGAAGAAGTTGATATAAAGTGTCTTGTGTGTTATTATTGTTTTGTGATTTTAAAACTTACACTTATTCAAGAAACTTCAGTATCCATATCTAGTGTAAAATCGGTGACCTGCAAAGATTTCTCTCATTGTCCAGGATAGTACATACGCATTTTTGTAGTATAATAATTGAGAGGATATACAAAAATAGTTTGTGTTCGCAAATTGATAAAGGATTAGCAAAAAAGAAAAAATAGCATATAATTTGAGATAATCACATTAATAATCCTCAATGGTATATACTCATAGCTAGATTAACATATTTTTTTCATTTATTTTTACTTATTCGATTCTCATTTAAAAGAATGAGAGATAAGATAATAACTCAATATCACTTGGATTTAATCGAGCACTAAATCTAATTATATATGTTTTTAACAACCTACTAAACCTGATATTTTTTTAACCTAGTCAAACACGGATCTCAAGCATATGTATAGATATTTTTTCTCTAGATAAGTTAAAGATGCTTTTTCTTATGAATAAGTTAGAGATATTTCTATCTTTTTTGAATGGAAAGGAGGAAAAAATACAATATAGAAAGGAAGGCAGGATTTCATTTCTAGATGAAATTTTTATTTTGAGAATACCTCTTTAGAATATGATGGCAACTTCTTTAAAAAATATACTAATTTAAATATTATAAAGTCCTCAAGCTTAAAAAAAAGAAGATCTTATATAGGTATCAAGTACCAACTGCCACCCACTTTGACAGGTGAGAAGAGATTGAAGTACTAGAACTTATCCAATACATAAGTCTTATGCTATTTGGATTTTATTGCTATCATCAATGACACCATATATGCGGAGCTAATTAAAAAGTCATCAATAGTACTACACAAGCACATTGTTTACTCACAAAATCATTATACTAAGAATTCTTTGTTATGTTTTCAAAACTATGCATGATCTAACATGTTCACGGGATTTTTAGAATATCAAAGTTTTAGCAAATTAAGCACCAACCAAATTAATTGTGGAATTTTTGTCTTTGATTTAATATGTATTATATTGTATTAAATGCAATGTCACAATTTGCTTTTTTCTTGTTTAAATATATCATATGAATATGTATATTGGAAGAGTCTTTGATTTTAGTTTATGGGTATATAAGAAATTCACAAAATAACCATTAACAATTGAGAAAAAAACTTCTTTTTGAAAAAAGATATTAAAAATATAAGAAACAAAATAAGCAAACAAAAAAAAGGATTGAAGCATCTTCACGTTTACAATTTCTAACAACCTAAAAATCATAAAAAACAAATTGGGGCTCACTAATTTTGACATTCTAAGGAAATATTTGCTTCTTTTTTTTTTTTGTATTTGGAACTAAATTGGAGTGTGTTTTAAAACTATGTTTAACTTAAAAATATATCAAATTTATATATTTTTAGTGTTTTCTGACAGTTTTGATGTACACAATTAAAATTTTTTGATTTTTTGATGTGTTTTTAAGTGAAAAATAATTTTAAAAAATACCTTATACTATAATACCAAATACACTCTAAATCTAATTTCTACACTATTTTTACCTTCAAACACATTAAAATCATTTATAAAATATTCAAAAGTTATTTTGAACTTCAAAGAGAAAGATAACAGCTAACAAAAACCAAACTTCAGTGAGAATTGAAGAACAAAAACATAAACAAAACAAACCTAAGTCTAATGGCATCAAATTGTGGTGCAATAAAAAATCTTAGGTAGTTTATTTTTTGTTTGCTGTA